TCTCGGATAAAAATAATTCGTATACTTTAATTTTAAGTACCAACTAGTATGTATATATATATATATATATATACTTTTAAAAATAAAGATATATATAATAAATTATAAAAAAATATATATATATATAATAATCATAGAAAAAAATATATATATATTACGTACGCAATTACGTATCTTTTTTTATACAAATTTTTTAGAAGTTCACTTTCCGATTAAATTTCCGCGAGAATTCACTTTAGAGTTCGTTTACACGTGAGGCATATAATCACGCGATGCATTTACGCCCGCGTCGGTCGATAGATGCGTTATCCGTCTATCCAACCTTAAAGGGGAAACAATCAAAATAAAAGTAACCACGGCCGAGCGGCTGTCATCGTGTGTGCGGTAGTAAAGTCCGGAACGTCTTTGTCGCGTCGAGATCAATTTTCCGCGCGTCGATCGACTCGACGTTCGCATGGATTAATACGAAGCGGCAGTCGATTAGGTAATAACGGTCGATCGATTTGCATTTAGCTGGTGTATAACCGCGAAAGGAACAAGGTGAAGCGGGAAAAAACTATCGTGCAACCAGACTCGCATCTATTTACTTCCCTCAACCTGGATGTCTCGCTCGCCGTTTCTATTCGTTCGTGTTTATTTCAAGCGATATAAAACCATTCTGTATCTCGCGTTTATATCTCGCGACATTGAATTTAAAAGTGAATTACGAGACAGATTATAAAGATAGCCGATCGCGGTAAAATTGATCGCCAACCATAAATTGACGTGCGCACGCCGAAGCATTACATTGAATTACATTAAGGAAAGTCTGACAAGTCATTCCCGTCATAATTTATGTTAATAATATTCCTCATTTTGAGGAGCTGTTGCCCGATCATTTATCTTCTACCGCTGGTAAAAACCACGGCCACTGTTTAATCATCCCACTTTTACGTACGCACGACGAACGTGGATCAATATCGCAACGGAATTTAAACAGCTTATACATTTATAAAAAACTTGAAAGTCATAAATCACGTTTGTCTAAAATTATTATTTCTTTTTTATACAATATTTTGTCACTCGCTGCCTTTTTTTTGTCCATCTCCCGCGTCTACCGCCGCAATCGCGCGCAGTCGTGTGTCACGATGTGATGTTCCGAGAGGACTCGGTTTTAGAGAACACGGAATAAATTCTACTGTACTCTATTGGGAGATCCGTCGATATATATCTCCCTCCCTCCCCCCCTCCCGTCCAAATCTTCTCGTTTCTCTTTCTCGCACCGGTCGTTACTGACGCGGGGTGGTTGGATCGCGGCCAAAATGCCACCGGTAAAATTAATCGTTGCCTGACACGAATTCCTCTCTAAGTGGGAATACCAATTTGTAGGTGCGAAACAGAAAGAGAAAGATGGAGAGAGAAAGAGAGACGCGCAACGTCCCGGGGGCGAGACGAGGAGGTTGTGCCACGTTGCGCGCTCGGGGTGAAAGCCGGAAGGAGGAGAGGAGGAGAGGCGGGGGAGGAGGAGGAAGCGGGTGGGTAGCGCGGGGTCTCTAAACATGTCGTTATATCGAAGCTAACAACCCGGTTTACGCCGGCTCTCGACTCGTTCTTGGATTCTCCCAAGAGAACCGACGAGCAACGAACGAACGTTTCGCTGGTTATTGGCCGCTGGCCAAGTGCCCCTGAAGACTTATTCGCTATCGAGCATTGTTTATGAAAGCAATGTGACTACAAAGCGACACGCGTAGTCTTTCGTGCAACCGCGACGTCAAATTAGCGCTGCCAAATTAATTGGGGTTTGTCGGATTCTCAAATGATTCTCACGTTCCTCCTGTCGGAGTTCATTTTATTTCAATCTACAAATTTTGCTGTACTTCTTCCGCAGGATCTTTTTATTCTTGGTACATTTTTGGAAAATTTTTTTATCTGCTCTGTGTTATTTAAAACATATATATCATCAAAATATATATATATATAATTTTAAATATGTAGTTTAGTTACTTACTTTTTGCAAATATTTGGTTGTTGACATTTTTAAATTCACCGAGTAAAATTTAATTATAATTTAAATATGATAATAAAAGTGAGAAATTTAAATTGTATCTCATTAAAGGTACTTTTAATAAGCGCGACGTAAAATATAACATCCTCAAAATATCATATTTAATAGTTAATTCCAGTTTATAAGAGGAATTGTATAAGAGTTAATTAAGATATTACGCAACAACGTAACTGATTATCTATAAGATTGTGTAGTAATTTATATTGCAAGATAGTCATCACGCGCAGTGAAATAACGGCGGTCATCTCGTCTTCTTTCTAAAACAATAATTATGCCGCTGGAATGCGTCTCGTGTTAGCGGCGAGCGGCGTGTCTATCAAGCTAAGAATGTGCCGACGTATAAGGCGCATCTCGGCGTTGTTTTACAAAGAAAACGGAGCGGATTGTACTCGTCTTGCTACATTCTCGCTGGTATCTATTACCACGTCTTACGGTAACCATCCATAAAATTTCCATCGAGTCAAAGTGAAAAAAGTAATAAACAACGATGAAATGACAGAATGAGATTCCTCTTCAGGATAAACTCTCGTAGAATTTTAATATTTGAATGAAAAATATAAAAATAGGATGTGAGACAAGAGTTTTTTTTCAATTAATAGAGTCGAAATGATGAATAAACCTGCGGATGTTAATCAGACGATTTGCAGAGTGACTGCTTCGACAAGATAATCTCGTGCGCTAATCCGTTAAACCGTAAATTAATCGTTACACGTTTAACGTCGACGTGAAGGGAATCACTTACGTGTTACAGATCGGAAGCACGTCGATCAGCCGAGGCGCGGTTCCGTCGGGAAATCGAAGGGAAGAACCGCACGCTAGGCTGACGCCGACCGGGAGGATCGTTTTAGGGGACATGGCTTAAGTCACGACAAGCGGAAGACAGGTTGGAGGAGCCACCATCCTCGGGTCTCAGGATTCCGAGAGCGCGGATGGTCGCCGAGATTTCCTACGACGTTGGAAGTAATTACGAGTGGTGTCGGGTGGTGTGTTCGTGATCAAAGAGGAGGGGGGGCTCAGTGGCTGTGATCGTGGTGTTGTGTCGGGGGGGGATCAGTGTGTCGTCGGTGAAGAGTGGTGAGAGATATATTGGGTTGCGCGAGTAAGAATTTACAGGAGCAAGTGTGGTGAAGCGAAATCAAGGTGGATAAAGGTGTACACACCATAACCAGGAGGTGGAAAGCGAGAGCGAGAGAGAGAGAAAGAGAGAGAGAGAGAGATAGGTAGAGATAGATAGAGAGAGAAAAGGGGTGGCAGAGAAGAGAGATACGGCCGGATATATCGCGAATTACGTCGAGCGAGAGTAGCAGCGAGAGAGTGAGTGATGTGTTCGATGGACGAGGCGCGTCTCGCGGGCGGTGGTCGGGGTAATGATAACGCGTGTAGTCGCGCGCGCTACCACTACTGTTACTTAGTATCCAAAGTGAGAAACGGCGGGCAGTCGGTGACCAGGCTGGCGGGCGCCGGGGAAACGTTTCCAAGGGCATGGCGACCACGCCACTAGGCGGTCGCCTCCCTAACGTAAACCGTAAAGGACCATCTCCGTGCATCGGTGGTGGTGGTATTAGTAGTAGTAGTAGTAGTAATAGTAATAGTAACGGCGGTGGTAACGGCAGCAACGGCAACACCAGCAACGGTAACAACGGCAGCAATAGCGGCAACAACAACAACAACAACAACAACAACAACAACGGCTTAAGTAGCAACAACGCGAGTGGTGGTCAGTTGAAGAGGCAGGAGAGAGCGCTGGTCGGCAGAGAACACCGCGATCATCGTCATCATCACCATCACCATCACCATCACCATCATCACCATCATCATCACCATCAAGGTCGGGACAAGTCATCCCTGTCATCGTCGTCATCGTCGTCGTCGTCGTCGTCGTCGTCGTCGTCGTCGTCGTCGGGCCAGCAGCGTGAGCTTAATAAAGCAAGCACAGTGGCTGCTAACGCCGGTGAACTGGATCCGGCCGCGACGAATGCGACCAATAACTTTGAGTACGACGACAACGAATGGGACATCGGCATAGGTGACCTGATAATCGATCTTGATGCGGACATTGAGAAGACGAGGGACGAGAAATTGAGTTCGGGGACAGGCATGGCTTCTACGCCTGCCTCGGCAGCATCGGCACCGAATAACGCGAATCATCATCAGTTACAGAACTCAACGAGCGGTCTCAACTCTTCCAACTCCTCGTCCTCGTCCGTCCCGTCGACTGGTACGAACGCCGGCAGTCAATCATCGTCGTCCTCGTCGTCGTCGTTGTCGTCGTCCTCCTCATCGTCTTCATCGTCATCGTCTTCTTCCTCCTGCGGCGTTAATTCGTCGACGCGTTCCAATAGCCCCGGGAACGGGAGCGGCAACGCGAACGGTACCGGCGGCACCGCGAACGGTGCCAGTAACGCGAACGGCACCGCGTCTGTAGTCACCGGTCCCGGTAATAAGCAAGCGTCGGGCGTGAACGTGAGCGGCGTAAACGCCGTCCACGGTAACGCCGGCAATCCCGGCAAGATGGCCGTAGAACATTCGGCCACCGTCGACAAGGGCCTCAAGATGAAGATCAAGCGCACGAAGCCCGGCACAAAGACCAGCGAGGCCAAGCACGAGATCGTTAAATCGAACGAGATCAACGGCACCGCCTCCTCGCAGGACTCGAACAACGGCACCGCCGCGTCCTCGACGTCCTCGTCCTCAACGGCTGGCTCGACGTCCGCATCGACCGCGGTCGCGCAGAACTCGCAGAATTCGGATTGCGGCGCGGCCGGCGGTGGTCAGTCGTCCTCGTCGAACAAGTCGAAGCCTAGCCACTCGCCGGCATCGGCCGGCGGCACCGGCGCCGCGCCCTCATCCACCGCCGGTTCGAAACGCGGCTCGAGCGGCCATCGGCGCGACAAGGCGCGAGACAAGCACGAAAAGCCGCAGAGCAATCACACGCCCCAACAAACCAAGCCGGAGATGAACGGTACCGCGCGACCGGCGCCGCAGGGCCAAAATTCGGCCGGCGGTGCGACGCAGTCTCAGGGCCCAACGCCGGCCGCCACGGCGCCGCAACAGACCCAGGGACCACCGCCCAGTTCGAGGACAGGTTTCTCCGTGTCACAGGGCCCCGGGCCACCCGCGACCAGCGCGGCGGCACCCTGTCCGCCGCCGAGTCCGGCGAGCGCCACGGCGGCCGGCGCGGCGGCCAAGCCGGAACAGACCAAGGTCGCCGCGGTGCCGGGTCCACCACTCACGACACCCGCCGAGGAAGCAATGGACACTGCCGCTAGTCCACCACCTGCAAAGAAAATGAAAACGGAACCAAAGGTAAGCGCTTTCAATTTATTCATTGATTCCGTCGCAATGTCGACGATTTTACTTATTCATTAACGGAAAGTATCGTTCTTATGAAATTACGAGATAATCTCTTCAGATGTTGAGGAAAATAATTATTTTTAAAAGTTTTTAAATTTTAATATTCGGACAATAAATGATAGAATTTAAACGAATATTTGAGATAATATCAATTGCAAAAAATTCACACTTTCTACATTCAATTTGGAATATTTTGTATCGCGCATTAGTAGCATTATATCAGCTTTACTACCTGTTATAAAATATCCGTTATTAGAATGATTTGTAGAAAGATGTAGAAACCTGTCCGCGATCAATTTTTCCTTTTCCTTAAATTGAAGTTCGCGGATTTCCTTTTCCGCGCGAGGTTGCGCTTAGAAGCATGTTATAAACAAGATACAAACAGGGGGAATCTTTCTCTTCTGTGCGACGCATTCCGATCGGATGTGTAACGTTGATTTCCGGCAGCTTGTTAGCCGCCACTAACTCGGGCAGCCCTTTCTGCGATCGGTATCTTCGCCTCGTCGGCGGCGGCGACGCGTGACGCTCGTAGGCACCTAACTCGCTCGCGGCGCGACGAGATGAGAGCGGCACGGAATCAATTATATAAGTTCATATGCATAGAACGTGAACGGACCGCGACGTCGAATCTACGTAATTCACGTGCGTACATACCGCACTCCGTTCCGTTGCATGAATCGAAAAAAGTCTTATCAGGAAAAGAACGTACTGAGAAATCGTAGGAAAGAAAAAGACTCAAGATTACATTATAATATATATTAGTATAAAAATAAACTAAATTATTAACAAGGTAAATTTATTCAGATAAAAATGAGTAATTTAAACGTGAATATAAAAATATGGCGTTTCCTGCGGCAAGAGCGGTTCTTTAAAAATATGAACGGTTGATGTTATAAAATGTGAAAGACCGCTTTTCCCATTTTTATCAGATAAAATGTCAAGAATAGAAATAGAATGGCTATTGAAATTGAACTGAGACTTTAAAGAATTACTTTTTTTTTATCTTATCTACTCGCAAATTAAGCAGACTCGTGCTAATGCAAGAATTATGAAGACGCGATGGTGGTATTTTTCTACTTTTATTCAAATGAAAACTTTAAAGAATCGATATCGCATTGACATGCTTTACGTATTTGCCTCCGCTTTTATTCTATAGTCGTAGGAAGACTATCGCCGTGACACTTGAATAAATAAATCCGCTTCTCGAGCGCGACGGGAAAACGTTATTGTAAAATACGAGCTTCGGTTTTCTGTCGCGAACTCCGCGCGCGCGCATATGTATATCTGAAAATAAACGCGAAGCGAAAAATATCGTTTGAGAGATACGGCCGCAGCGCCATAAATAAATCTCGTCTCGCGCACGCTTCGTTCTCTCGATCCGCGGCCATCAAAAGTTGTGCATTATTTTCCCTCGAAGAGATCTAACAACGTTATCGTATTTTACGGTCGGCCGAACACGACGAGCGCGGGAGGAATTTTCTTGTTGCGCACGATGAATTTTTGCCATCCGCACGAGAGCCGGACCTTATCCAACTTGGATCCGTCGTGCCTGTCGCGCCGTGAACACTTGCCTCGTAACGCCGCATATTTTTTCACATTCAATTTCGCACGGAAATATTCGAAATACAATCGAAGCGAGGGAGAAATTTCCCGTTTCCGTTTCCGTTCAAATCCGAGCGAGCTTCTCGCACGCTCTTGGAATTTTCATTGGATTATTTTAAAACGCCGTGTCATTTGAAAATTTTTAACTGTCAAAAGAAACCGTGCGATCTGCAAAGATCAACTCTGTATCTCGCCGGGAATGTTTCACCAATATATTACCGTTGAAATTGCCGTAGCGTGTACACAGGACATTGTGTACACGCGCGAGTTTTCCAACAGACCTCGATGAATCTCTCGCCTTGGCACACATCGGGCCCGTCGTCGTTCGCTTCGTCCTCGTCGTCGTTGTCGTCGTCGTCGTCGTCATTGTCCCGTGTCCCGCACGTACGTTCTCGTTCGCAACCTTGTTCGCGAACCGTATGTAACGCCGGACACGTATTCGCGCGTCAATCAACTCGCGTACGTGTCGCGGATGTGCTCGCGGCTCGGCTCGGCCCGACGGCAACAAAATTGGGCGGGCACGCGCGTGGAAATTCGCCCCCGCGGCGGAAAACCCGATGACACTCAAGCGCACACGTCACTGTTAAATGTCCCGGCTAATTGTAACGATACTCCCGTATGCTCGAAAGGGAGGAGCCGAGGGAGTTTTGCGTAATGTCGCGAGGAAAAAGTTTACTCGCGCTTACTCGCGCAAAAACGGAGCGCAGCTTTGGAATTTGCGTGACGCAAGTATCACCGTCACGAGGCGGAGGGGGCATAGAAGAAAGCATGTTGCATCGAATTGGATAAAAACATAATTTTTAAATTTTGATTTTTACAACCGTGTTTATTAGCGCTCGTTTCGCAGTCAAATGCTAATAAATTCTTTTTATTGCTCTTTTTTCTTTTTTTTTCTATTTACATTGCGCAAACCGCGCACTCTGCAAGCGATAATTTTAAATGTAAATTTTACGTATCGATTTTACAGACAAACAGTGTATAGATTGTGATAAAGGTACTCCTTGTCGGTATAATGGACGCTGTATCACGTTTTAATGCGTAGGATTCGCTGTGAGTATAAAGTTCAACCAAAGCTAAAATTGGCGAGAACTATTCCTGCTCTTTGCGCGATGATCGCAACGAGTATTTTCACGTGGCCGTCTCTCGTCGCTATTCATGGTTCATGGCAGCCGCTTTGTCGGAGCCGTTTTGAAAGTATACCGACACGTGTCGATACACAGCCGATTGACTCGCGTCATCTATTATTCGCCGCCCGATTCGGCGGGTGACATCGATACGACTGCTCTCTATTGTAATGGCGGCGTCATTATTTTTGCACGCTACGATTTGCCGCGATATCATTAATGATTACCGCGCTATCCGAGAGAGGTAATATTTAACGAACGTATATTCACGTGCAAACAAACGACATGTAATCTCTGCCCTCGCAGTCTATTGTTTTTCAATCTCGCGATTTTCGCATAAAGGTATACCTCCAGATATCCATTTCAAATGTAATTTCCCGATTCGCCCACTCTCTATTTGCAACCTTCGACGCGTGATTATTAGACTTTCAAATATTTACCTTTGGCACTTAACGTTTAATAATAATTAATATTAATTTGAATTTGAATTTTTCCGGTATTCTTAACACCCTCGAAAAATAAATCGCTGCCCGTTTTAAACTCGATGATAAATTTAAGAAATACCGTGGATGAGATAAATTCGAATTATTACGAATTACAAAGCCATCACGCGATCTCTCTCTCTCTCTCTCTCTCTCTCTCTCTCATTTAATCCCGTGTCGATAGATTTTAATAATTCGGACGTGTGGTTAATCGAGCCGCGATGAACGAGCGGATTAACGCGCGGGATCCGTTTGACGTGGCGTTTGATAAATATTTTTGATCGCGCCCCCGTCGACTCAGAATTGACGCTCATCGATGTCGGAATGGGTGCGGAGGTTGGGCGAAAGCCGAGAGACATGGCATGGTGGCCTGAGCAAAGTGGCATCGTCGACTGCTCTATGCACCGAGGGGAATAATCCGTTATATCCCTAGTATAGAGAGGGGTTAAAGGTTCTCAAACTCGTTTCATAAGAGCGCCTGTATTATTCTAACAATTTGAACGATCGAGAGACGTGTAGCATTTATTAACGTGTATATATTTTATAATTTATTACGACTTGACATCAGCATAGAAATTTTATTTCTTTCAGAGATCCTTTATAAAGCGTTTATTCACGTGTGATAATATTTAATTCAGAGTTTTTATAAATAAAGTAATATAAATACATACGGAGAGAAATATTCAGGGATAATAAATCATTGATGCTACTTCAGAGATGTCATCTTTATTACATTACAGTTCAATTAATCCGGAGAGTAAATTTACTACTAGATAAAATCGCTTTAGCCTATATAAATCCTTATTATAAAAACTCGTTAAATCAAAAGTTTAAATTGTTTACTGCAAAAGCGCAGTTAATTAAAAGTTTCATTACCCTTATGTTCATTCGAGATGCTATTAAAAATCGCATTGTCCGACGTTTTCGCTGGTTACATCACGAGGAGTCGGTATATGTCGATAAAAAGAGCCGGGTGATTAATCACAAGTTTTAATTGTCATAAACTTTTGGGTCAATCGAATTATCGGTTTTCGCATTATGTTTTCCCTTCTTTCTCTCTTTTTCTCTTTCTCTCTTTGTGCTACAAATGTTTATCCTGCCACATTATTCATCGCTTGCCCCGTTCTCATAAACTGCTTACAAATATCGGACGTACGAGAGTTTTCCAATTAAACGAACCAAACTCACAAACGTCAACTACCCTCCCCCCCCTCCCCTCTCTCACTCTCTTTCTATCCTTCCACTTCTGCGTATCCCTTCAACTCACATCGCCACAAAAGCAACAGCGGAATAAACAGATTACATTCTCCCCGGAACACATTTTTGCCCCGAAATTTACTCCGCGATACACACCCATTTCCCGCACGATGTCACCCACCCACGTTCAA